CAGTGAAGCTGGGATGGACGGATATTGACAAAATCACATTCCAATATTCTCTGTTGTTACCGTCAATAGAAGTATATTCTGATCGTGATGATCATAATGGGCCTGGTTCCATAGCGATGCTACGTTTTATACCTCCCCAATAAGTTTCTCTACAGCTTTTGATTTTGACCAACACAAACTGTAGTTATAACAGAAAAATCTTGCATCGACATTGTGTTGATGGAAGACAGAGGCATACGTAGTCGTTGGATGCCAACTGCACATGCACCAGCCATTCCACTCTAGCTCCTATTCATGTGAGCAACTTTCCAGGCGCATCAATTCCAGGTTCGTTATTCAATCCTTACCTTAAGGGTACGAACACAGTGGAGCTGGCACTGGCAGGGTCATCAACGTATAGCACAGCTGAGCCTGGAAGATCACCTAGATAAGCGCTGCGAGTGTAGATAGGAATTGAACGTCATTTAGACGTATTCAACGATAAAATTTCTTAACACAAAACACGCTGACAAGGAAACACGAAAAATAGGAAAGTACAATGTGGCTTCGAAGAACCAATCTCGAAGTGAACAGTTTCCTCTTTTCACTAGAGTACCATATTGACAGCTTCACGACTTGTATCAGAAATAACTCTCCTTTCTTCTCCAGCTTTCTCCTCATGTGCCAAAACCGCATATCCTGGTCCTATTATTAAGCCCCGCCCACTCGGTTCTCCGGTGTTCGACCACTCGCTTTTCGAGTGTTTGATCATTAAAGTTGAGCATACATCGACAATAAAAATGAAATGAACGATAATAATCGACTTAGCATAGAGCTATCCCGTTTCGACCACGCGCTAATCTAGTATGCTAGCCGAATATCAAAGCTAAGTAAGCCAGTAAATGCCCATTCGATTCCTCTGTACGAGTATACGTACCTCCAGAAACACAGATCGTGAAATTTTCCGATTTCAAAGTGGGGAGCTATTCATTCCATTGTATATTATTTTCGGTACGAAGGTTAGTTTTTCCAATGTAATAATTTTGTTTTATAGTTGAAGTGTCATGTAACTGGTTTGAATTCGAAATATTAACAGTTCAGTTGAAACATTTTCTCTTTTGACCAAAATATTCACAATTCAGATATGTCACATTGAAAGTAATTGGAAATATATTTATGTAATAATATATAGACCGCTCATTTATCTGGTCCCATTATCTCCCTAATGGTGAAAATTCACAAGGTTGATCAAATTATAGAAAAATATAAGAACAAAATCCTAGTTGAATGAAACCTGACGCACGAAACATTTCCTTACATTCGAGAATGAATGTTATTTCTCGAAGTCCCAGCAAGTACTGAGGATGTATGCTGTTGAAACGTTCAGTACTTCAGTTTCTATTCAACCAGAAAACAGTACACTTTTTCAGCTCTATTAAGCCAGCAATGCAAAGTACCTGAATTGCATTTAGAAAATGCCAAAATTATGTACTTTTTAGGTGCTTTTTAGATACCAAGGTCTAAAATTAGGTGTTCTGTAACTTACACCGCAACTCAATACTTACAGTTGCGTTGCTAGCATTATGTGATTCTAGCAACGCGATGAAAATAATAATAAAATAATTAATGTTAAGGGAACACTATTAGGTGCTATTCAAGTGCTGAACGGTGAGAATCGTAAAATTTTCTAATTAATAAACAAAAGCTTCCAATTTCGCTAAACAACAGATCTAAGAATCAGGTCTCTCGAGAACGAGGACGAATGCTCTATCAGGTATAAACTAAGCGTGGTAATAAAGTGCTAATTAGGTGCTCACTAGATATTCATAGTAGAACTAGATTATTTGATGCCTATGGGGCTCATGGACCTAAAATCCACCATGACTGATGTACTGAGTTTTTATAGTACGTTATTTAATGAATAAGGGCAAGAAATGAAAGTGCTAATTAGGTGCTCACTAGATAAATAATAGTCAACCTATGACTGAAGGACTGAGTTCTTACAGTACGTTCCTCGATAAGTAAGGGTATGAGAATAAAGTGCTAATTAGGTGCTCATCAGATATTTATAGTAAATCTAGATTTCATAATTCATATGGGGCTTATGGACCCGATAACCACCATTAAAAAAATGTTTGAAATATGTTTTTTCCGTTAACCAGCTATCGCACCTGACCAGTCGGTCGGTAGCCGGGTGGTTCGACGTGGATGCTTTGTTCAGTCAGTCAATCGGCCGATGTGTGAGTCGATGGTTCAGGCCCCATTCTGAACGCTCAATTTTAACTTGCTATCGTCCAACCCGTGTTAGGAATCACACGTTGAAAGGTGCGACCTCGTTAGTTCTTAGCTCGCACAAATTCAGATTTCTGCTACAGAGCACCTAATTTTTGACTTCGGTACCTTAAAAGCACCTAAAAAGTACCTAATTTTGGCATTATCTGAAAGCGATTTCCGTACTTTGCGTTGCTGGCGTAACAGAGCTCAATTTTTTCGAGACAGCACTGCTAGGATATGTTGACAAACCTACTGAATATCACTGGAAATAATAATACCTACATTTATTCCGTTATCATTTCATAGCCTCCCAGTTAGCTTTTTCTCAGACGAAAAATCACGCATCGTCCAGGCCGGCTCATTCCGGCCCTGCAAGTGGTACACCTTTCGCCTGAGGCTCCTTCTCTCCTCGCGTGGAAGATTTCATTCTTCTTCTTCTTCTTCGGCTGCGAAGAAGACCCTGAGGCAGACGCATTTCACCGGCGAGATCGAGTTGGCATTTTTATATCGCCATTATTCTTTAAATGACATGATTTCGTATTTGAAATCGGTAGGAAAAAGGCATCCTCCGCAAATGGACTTGTTATGATTGAAAGGCGAAGATGAAATCGAGCGGGAGAAACGGTGTCGATGAGAAATCGATTTCCCGGTACACCCAGATATGTTCGGAAAGAGTTTTCAGAGCTTTGAAGAATAGGAAACCTATTCTGGGATCATTACTGGACATAAACTAAAGCATAAACTGGATGAACTAATCGATATAAACAGTATCTAACTTCGAATGACTTCAAGCACACAAAAAATATTTCACTCATTTCATTATTGTGTGCAGACCGTGGTCTGCAGGTGTTCATGCCTGACGTTTCATCTACTACTGCGGTAGACAGGATAAATGGTGATAAGGCAACGGTAGCAGTTCCGGAGATGATGCTCGAGTTGTTGTTCCCGTTGTTTCGAACGTATCAACTACGATGTAGCATAATCGTCTTCATTTTAATCAGGTAGGAAAATGTTTCCTCACCTTTTCAAATGAGGATCGTCAGGAGGAAAAATGGTTGAAGACTCTAAGTATGGTACGACATGAAGATCAATGACCTCAATGTCGCTCTGGCCCTGTATACCCCTTCCTGACTGGGGTATTTGATGAACAAACTGTTCACTTTCTACGGACGTCGTGGTGCTCAAAAAATTCCGATGCCATAACTTTACCTGCAGATGGCACGGTCTTCGCCTTCTTTTGAGCCGGTTCTCTCTGTTGGACTCAGTGATGGACCCATGATTCATCCATGGTTATGAAACGTTGCAAGAATTATGTATTGTTGCTGTAAAACTTCGCTGAGCCTTCAGTTGAAACATCTTCACGGCACTGTTTTTTCTCGAGTGTAAGGAAACATCACCTATTCTGCACACGGCTTTCTCGTGTCCAAATTCAGAGATAATATACGATGTACCGCACTTTTTGAAATGTCACTGAGCCCGTGCACTTTCAGTCGACGATCATTCTGTACCGTTTCGTGAATTCTCTCCACCGTTTCTGAAGTTATCACCTCATTTGGTCGACCACTCCGATGCTCGTCTTGGCAGCTTGTACGGTCTCGTTTCAACTCTGCTACCTAATATTTCATTGTTTTAAATGTAGAAGCAGAGTCTCCCAGAGTAGAATCCAGTTCAGCTTTTAAATTGTACCACATAGAGATGACCAATTTCATCCATTTTCAAAAATTCACCGAAAGTGTTCGGTATTGATGGCTGCATAACGAATACTCAACAACGCAGCGCCTTCAAACTTGAAATATATGCTTTATAAATTGTATACTTTCTAATACAACTACCGCCATCTCTAAGTCAGGCCAGGCACATCTGGGACCATCCTGACACTATAGTATTGATAAAACACTAAAACACTAAACACCGGTGTTGCCCTATGTTCTGGGTAATATTGAATTCGTTGAAGGAAATGAAAAGTATTGAGTTCATGAGAACTAATAATTCTCCAGTTCCAGGCGCATACGAGCTAATAAGCCTAATGCATTCCTTCTCGAAGTAGAGCGACAATCGTCGTGGGGTATTCAGCTCCTGATGAGACGATTGTCTTCCGAGAAGAAGAGGAAAAAAGGATGAAACATAGAGATTTTTTCTTCAAAGAATACAGATTCTTTGTTAAAATTATTGTTCTTATTTTAGGAGTCCTTGATGGAATATTGCTTTCACTACTTTTGAAGAAAAGAGACCTTTATAGTTATCATATAGATTTGAACCACCTTTCTGAAGTTCTAAGTAATCAATGCTACTTTTATTTCATTAGAAAATACTCCATATTCAATCGATCAACTAAACTGAATTGGAATTTCAATTAGTCAATATTCAATGAAGAAATTGGTCGAAGATAAAAAAACGCAGCAAATGAAACTACTTATTAGTAAAAGTAAACCTGCATCCTCCCAAACAAGCGAACCCTAACCTTTCCCATCCCCAAGTAGGTCAGTATGTCGGGTGCGGCACTCCAAAACCCTTCGAATCTTTAAAAAAGAAAACTCAGTTCTCCTGAGCCAGAACATAACCTCAAAACCATCTCCACCAAGAGACACTAAACCAAAGCAACCTCTCCAGATGGTCCAAAGTCGCATCTCGAGCGCACCCACCAAGGCTTCTACTCGTCGTACCACCATCGCCGGTGGTTCTCGCCGGGTACCATCAACACAGACCATCGACTTCTTCATCTCTTATTCACATGAAGACCTCCGATGTGAAGAGATGCGAGAAAGTGGTGATCGATTTCGTCGCGAGCGCGCGTCACCGACGAGTCCGAGAATCGTCTTGAGGCGGGTGTTAGTGCTGTCGGAGGGCAGGCAGTTCAGGGAGGCGGCCGCGGTCCTGCAGAAGCTGGGGCCAAACACCATAGCCACCGTCGCGGGAGAGCTGCCCTTGGATTTACTCGTGGAGGGGCTACCGCACTCGGCTCAGCTGCTGGAGACGCTTTTCAATAAGTGAGTTTTGAGCTGGAGAGATGTAGAAATGTTTATTCTACAGCTCGTCCATGGAGAAAAAAATGACTATTAGGTGAACAAACAATATCATTGAAAATTCCCTAACAGTTTTTTTATTTCATTTTTATCTAAATTGATATCATAAGCAGAAAAAAATTGTTTTTTGTGCTTTTGATTAATGTCTTAGGGAATAAATTACTCATTATTGATATTAAGAAAATATGTCAGGTCTTTTCAACTAGTGTTTTTCTGAATTCACAAGAGTATAACACCCTAATAATAATAATAACTACAGGCAGAAATTTCAACATAAGATACCATGAGCATGTATCAGCAGATGAAAAATCAGTTATATATGGACATCTATAAGAAACAAACCATACAATAAATGATGAAAATGTGAAAATTATCCATATGTGCAATGAAGGAAGGGGGGTGAATTTGTTGAATGTATTGCAAATAAATAAATTGTATAAAATTTCAAAATCAACTAGAATTATGCAGCTCTCCCCTTTTAAATTTGTGAATTTTTCACAAATTTAAAAGAAAGAAGAATACTGCGAACAATATTGAAGACAATTAGAGTTGAAAAAAAAATCTGTTTTTCCGTTAACCAGCTGTCGCACCCCTACGAACGACAACCCTCAGAAGTCGAAACTTGTGCGAGCTGAGGAATAACGAGGTCTTACCTTTTAACGTGTGATTCCTAACACGAGTTGGACGGTAGCAAGTGAAGATCGATCGTTCAGACTAGGGCTTGAACCACCGACCAACACGGCAGTCAATTCGAGTGAGTGAACAAAGCACCCACGCCGAACCGCTTGGCTACCGACTGATATAAATGAATACAGAAGAAGAACAAACAGGGAAATTGCCGAAAAATGAGGAAAGGATACAGTCTTAGAAATGAAGAGCTAGGTGTCAGAGAGACATATGGAGTATAAAAAAAGATAATTTAGTGAGAAAAATGACGGATTGGGAATCAGTAGAAAGAAGAAGAGAAACATCTAGATCTAGCTGTTCAAAAAAAGTGGAAGGAGACCTGAAAAAGACCGGAGTTGTTGTTTTGAGAGAAATAGCAAGAATTATGAAAACATTGAGAACCATATGTGAGAAGGTAACCAAGACGACTTATCCACCCTAACCAACAGAGGATTCGGAAAGTTTTAATAGCGGCACAATCCCTAAATGGCACATATAAGCCATGGTTTTACTTCCTCGAATTCCTAAAATCAGAGTGTTAACTGGTGCAAACCCATACTTTTCTCTGTCAACTTTTGTGCCAGTAATGGAGTATATCAAGTCGCCAATAAGGCTGTCCCTCTTAACTGTAATATCGCACGATCCAATTAATTAGAACTTCATTGCGATCTCGAGGAAAATATAATTATAGTAATTATATAATGAGGCGTACTCGCACATCTATCGATTGATTATAGATATAATTTAAATTATATGGAATTTTCAGTGGTTCAGTGTCTTTGATCTTCGACGGTGATCATTTGTGACTCTTTGATACTCATTGCTTTCTGCAATGTAAAAATATTCACATGAAAAAAACTAATAACACGGTGGGTAGGTAGTGGTTAGGTTAGGTCCAAAGTGAGTGGATCTATTTGACCCTCCACCGCAATCCGCTAGGATTTATTGTGGCTCACACCTATTCACACTCGACCACAGATGAACTCAGCTTCTCAACAAAGCCGATTAGTTTGTATGGTGAGTGGTCTTTCAGGTCACATGGTAACAGTACGGCTCCGCCTAATTCTAAAAACCTGATTTGGTCCCAAGCGGGACAAGAACAAAGTATGTGCTCTGCTGTTTCATCATTTTCAAAACAGAGGCGACACACACTGTCTTTCAACAGTCCAAGTCTCTACATATGATGATTCAAATGACAGTGACCTGTAAGAAGGCCTGTTAGACATCGTAGTTTATCCCTACTGTAGTCCAACAACTGTTTGGTATCAAGCTCAGCAGGGTGCATAAACGCTTTGGAGTGAGCCGATCCTGGAAGATTCTGCCAAAAGTCCATGAATAAACATTCATGGACTTTTGGCAGGCGTTCAATCTTTGTTTGGCAAAACCAAAAGCAATGTCAATGACAGGTTCTGGTCCGATGAAGCTGCTTGCATCTCCTCCTCTGCAAGGGAGCCATCAGCCTTATTGACTTTCAGACCAGTATGTCCAGGAATCCAGACCAGAGAGAATCTGTTGAGTCTTCCTATCGAAGAGAGTCGTTTTTAGCAATTTGCTTCCAATTTAGACGTTGCTCGGTAGGAGCCAAGTGTTTCCAACGCCGCTTGACTGTACGAGAATATGTTTATTGACTTGTGTATGAACTTGTGAAAGAGTGGTAGTTTGAAAGATTTGTATAATAATAGTAATAATAATCTTTATTCAATCCTTACAGATCACATACAGCATGATATAGGATACGTCACGAATAAAAAAACCGTGTGATGATAGACAAATTCACAATCAACAATATTAAAAGATCACAATCTAATAGATTTGTTCACATATACATGAAAACATGACATAATATAAAAAATGAAATACAAAAATTCAGAACAATAATTAAGGGTCAATGAAAAGGTGAAGTATCAGCCTAGGCTGCTTTTCAACTTAACCTAGCAAAAAAAAAAAAATAACAATAATCATATACAGGTCCGTCTTAAAAGCAACTCTTTAGTGACTGAAGTAAGATTTTCAATTTCTTCTTGAAATTGTATAAAGAGAAGTTCCAAAAGTCTTTGGGAAGAGTGTTATAGAATTTAGGTGCAGAATATGAAAAAGAACGTTGGTACAGTGCAGTTGGTACAGTGCAACATTCTTATTAGTCAATGGGCTATGCTTGAAGACTGGCAGTAAACAAATCTAAAGCAAATGGAACTTCAAACGTTCAAGCCAGTCTCCATTAAACCTACTGTGTAGGTATATAGAGACTGGCTTGAACGTTTGAAGTTCCATTTGCTTTAGATTTGTTTACTGCCAGTCTTCAAGCATAGCCCATTGACTAATAAGAAAGTTTTTATTCCTTATTTAGAGGAATCGGGCAAATTACGGATGTGCAGTTGGTTAGTACCTCGTCCACTAGATGGAGTGACATTTTTGATGTTCGCTCCAGCTTCGGAAGAGGAATGAAATACTCTGAAAGAATTCCGATTTTCAATTGTGGAATATCATTGACTTTAGGTCGATGATGGTCACTATCTTGCACTGATGAGTGGCTAATAAGCCCGAAACCGGTCTGCAAGTGTGCCCGTTCCATAATTGAAGGTCGACTCTTTCAGTTGTATTGCCAATTGCATATGCAGGACATTTTCTGTGAAGATTCCTGCACTGACGCCTGTCTGATATAATCCAACGCCCTTCGTGGTATTAGCCAGGGGAGTAGTTGTTTTCTGATAGGCGTCAGTCCATTAAACCTACTGTGTAGGTATATAGAGACTGGCTTGAACGTTTGAAGTTCCATTTGCTTTAGACAGTGCAACATGTTCCATAAATAACATCATACATTTGAAAACATAAATACATGGAACTGTTAAATTTTTTTATTTTTTGAAAATATGGTGAAAATATTCTGTTACTGGAGCCATCCCCAGATGTTGATGTTATAGGATATGTTGCAGTAGATTAGAGCATAATGTACATTGATTCAACAGCCAATAATGCCTCGGAAAGCAATAGTATCTATGTCATCAATCAATAGATATTCAGAAAAACATGGATAATTTTAATAGAAAGGAAGAGGCAATAAACAATAGTAGTGGAAATCATTAAAAATAATTTCCTATCCCTGGATCATCTCACATATCTTGGATCGACTTAACCATTTTGTCATATGGAGCAGTAGATTTTTTTCCTTCATTTCTATTTTTATGCTGTTATCAATTTGTTTCCTTCCAGAAAGTATTTGTATTCGCTTAACTTATAAGATTCAAAACAGATGATGAAGTAGAAAACCAAAAACTTTCTTTCACAAGAATACTTCCCTTTCAATTTGGGAAAAATCACGTTTATAACAAATGTTAATTGAAGCAATTGGTCAACGATGTGACATATTTATGAATTCAATTCTCTAATCCAAAATATCATGCATAGTTTGATATATTATGATTATTTTTCCCTTTAACTTCAATAAAGTGAAATATGTATGTGCAACAACACTCAAAGTTACATCTGAATCGCGATGGTTATATATCTAAAAAGCTTCCAGTCAAAATATCAGTCTCTAGATCTGAAAATGTTTTACGTAAAGTGACACTCTTACTTTTAAGTAACCCCAACTTTTTCTCCATTGAAAAGACTTCAAAATGTACTGAGGAAATTTCCACAACTCCCATACATAAGAATATTCATAACATTATGGCAAACTTCCGTCAGAAAATAACTACTTCTCTAGCTAATACCATGTGAACATTGGGTTATATCTGATAAAAACGGGATGAATTGTTCCCTTCAGTGGAAATGGTATGAATGCCTGACTACGTTCACTTCTTCATTTCTTCTTTCATTTATTCACCATTTTATCCCTGTTTGCACTTCTGTAACACATATTTTCATTTTTATTACAGTACATTCATGGAATCCTCATCAAAACAAGTATCCCTTGCAGTAAAAAGTAAAAACATATATCCACTCTTCCATGTTCAAAATAATCGTTATTTCAGAAAAGTCCTGACCGAAATTAAAAAACGATTAAATATTATCGATAATTATGGCGGTTCCGTTATGAATAATCTTAGAAGACGGCATTTTTTCAAATGCATATGGATATACTTTCTTCGAACTTTTCCTTTCCTTTTACTTGAATGGGCTGACCTCAAATCTCGACACACAAAAACCAAATCGTTCAACATTGAGCAATCGCCTGAATCAAGAAGGTGCAGCTTTTAATGTCAGAAACGAACTAATATTTGAGGAAATTTGTCGAATAAACACTTAACCAAAAAACCTAAGTTTTATGTCCACTGCATGATATTGAAACGTCAAAA